AATGGCTCGGAGATGTCTGAATCCTGTAATCAAAAAATAAGTCCTTCAATAAAAATTCAAAACCTGCCAAAATGCTACCCTCGGAAAATGCATCGTGTAAGAACACTTAAGCATCTTGGGAAATTTTTTGATCACTCTGAGTTTTCAAAGCTTTGAGCAAATAAAAATTGCATCGAGGTCATGTTTTGTTCGGACCTCCGAAAAACAAACTACTTATTACTACATTTTATTATGTGCTAAGGCATTAGAAATATTTGTAAGAATAGAAATTATGAAAAAATACTAATATAGTAGAGGCTTGAATGCCAAAAGGGAAAATTTTATATATTTCAGAATATCTTTACAAAGGCCCAACAAAAATGGTCTCGAAATGAGAAAAAAATATGTACACAACAAAAAAACTAATACAATCTGAGGCATTTATGCAAGATCTTCACCGGAGTCCGATTCGTCGCTAGAACCATTGGATCCTTCGGATCCTTCGGAACCCTCGGAGCCCTCCGCACCTTCGGTCTCTGATAGTTTCTTCGCCTCGGCCTCAAGGGTTTTATCCTCCTTGATCTTGGTCGACAGGTCAAAGCCTCGGGCATGGATCTCTTCGAGGGTCTCTCTTCGAGACGACCACCTTACATATCGGCATTGGTCTTCAGGCGGGTCTCGGCTGCTTCGACATCTGCTTTGTATTGGGCCACCATCTCTTCAACATCGGTAGATGTTGTATCCATCTTGGACCTTTATACTTCGAGCTCTTTACCAAGGGCATCCCATTCTGCAGTGACTGAGCTCAGTTATGCTCGGAGTTTTTCCTTTAGTTGAGCCCATATATCAGCTTTCTCCTTTTCCACCCAAAGTTGAACCTTTATCGAAGATAATTTTGCCTGGCGGTTTCCTTATTCAAGGAAAATAAATCCATCTTGCTCTTCCACCTATTGGCCATGACTTGGATCTCGTACATATCCTTTCGGAGTTGGTCAATCAGTTCGATCTTTTGCTGGACCTACAAGGTTTTTTCGTTAACCATAGCGACTAGTTCCTCGTTCCTAAATTCAAAGACATTTACCTTTTTAACCAAGTCGGCATGCTCCAGCCTCAGGGCCGATGATTCTTTCTGAGCCCTATCCAGTTCGGCCTGAAGGTACTTAATGACCCCGTCCTGTTTCTCACTGAGGAGCTTGTACGTATCCCTTTTCTGAGACTGCTCCTTTTGCTCAAGCTTGAGATGGTTGACCTCAACATGATATCGGAGGAGGCTTTCATGATGAAGTACTGAGTCCTGCAAAATGGTGAAAAATATGAGAAATATCAAAACCTAAGTAAAGTTCAAATGATGTACTGATGCCTTACCCGGGTTCAGCACCTGTTTTGCCTTATTGAAAAGGTATGACACGTTTACTTCATTCATTTTTGCCTGGTCCTCCTCGGTCACCAGGCATCGAAGATAACTGGCTATTCCCACGAGAGCAGACAAAACCCGAGTATCCTCGGAGACAGTAAGAATAAATGATGTCTTGTGACCGGGGTCCACACTAGGAGCAAGGAACTGATTGATCAATTTTAGGCTCGAACTCGGCCGGCCAGTACCGGCCTGGAAAAATCTTCCAAAGTGGACGAGTCCGCACTATCAAAAAGGGAGTGAAGGGGATCGTCCGTGCCATGGACCCCTTCATTAGACTTTCTCTTTCCTTCTTGGGCCTCCTTGAGCATGGACTCGGTGTAGATGGACATCCCCGTAATCTCTATTACATAGGGCGCTTCCTTCATAGTGGAGCCGACATCCCAGGGGGTCTCAGCCCCCGTGTCAACATCAATCTCCCGAGTCAGAGGGAGGTCGGCCTCACAAATGTCCCTCTCGGCTGTCGACTACTCCCCAGGAGGGGTCGATCCATGGAAAATAAAATATCTTCTTCTTCGAGATCTTCTCTGAGCCAAAAAAACGAATCGGAATCCAACACCCGAGAACTAGAGCTCTTTTTGGGATTATGAGCCACTCTTTTCTTTGGATTCACCATGGAGCTCGGGGAGCCCGGAGCCTTTCTTTTCTTCTTCTTTTCCCCCACTGTAGCCCCGGGTTGTCCCGTACTAGAGAGATCAACTGACAATGACACGCCATCATCCCCTTCCAAAGGCCTAAGTTCGGTGGTCATAGGCAAACCTACAAAAAAAAAGAGGAAGAAAAGTCAGTATGATGAATGTTGGAAGCATGGTGTTAACTATTCAGAGAAAGACCTTACCATGAGAACGGGCCTCCCATCGGCCCTTCGAAAGCTTGCTCCATGCACGCTCCGAGTACATCATCTGTGTGATGATGCCTTCGGTCCACTCCTTTAGCTGGGGAACCGTATTTGGAACCCGGGCAATAGCTGCACAACCATAAGTATGAATGAGAAGAGAGAAATTGAAGATAAAATTGACGCTTAAAAAGAGACTGCACTTACGAGATATATTCCACTTATCAGGGAATAGCTTGAGCTCGGGGGACATCAAGTATTTGGTCTTCAGCTGATTGAAGCATCCCTGCCAGCCCCCCTCTCGATCTTCATCAATGCTAGAATAAAGGGCCTTGCTGGCCCGATGAGTAAACTTGATTAGTCCCAATTGGAAAATTTGAGGATTGTATAAATGGAATAGATGATTGATGGTAAACCTATGAGACTCAGTCTTGTTCACAAAGTAACTAAGGAGTATCACGATCCTCCATAGAGACGGATGGATTTGCCTGAGGCACACCCCGTACCTCTTGCAAAAACCCAAAATATCTGGGTCCACCGAACCCATTGTTAAGGGGTAAGTGTAAACACTTAAGTACCCCTCCATGTGGGTAGTAATGGTGTCCTGGGGCCTGGGGACCACTACATCCTTACCTTCCCAATTATAGTCCTTTCGGACAACGGGAAGGATATCTTCAGACACAGAGCATATGTACCTTGATGCTCCTTCACCCCAATCCTATTTGCATGAGGGTTTCCTGACCTTAAAGTCATCTGCAGTTGAGTAGCCCCCGGGAATAAATATTTTCAAGGGAGCCTCGGGGATGGTTTGTCAGCAACCACCTTGGGAGCAGCCATTTCACGGGCAACAACTTCAGGAGAAACCGCTTCAGTACCGGCGGTCGGTTGAGAAGATGATGAGGCAACTTGTTGAGGAACATATTTAGATGTTTTAGCCATTTTTATCTGGAGAAGTTTGAAAATTTAAAAAAAGAATACTAATGTTTGAAATAACGAGTTTGAAGGATGAAGAACAAAGTATAATGATTTGAAGTAAATCTGGGTAAAAACCTGGAAATCATTATGAAACTTGAAGAATAAGGATGAAGATATGGAGGTTTGGAGAAACTTGACGATAACTTGAAAGTTCGAAGGTAGAAGCTAGGTCGGAAAGTGGGAAAAGAACAAGCTACATAAGTTTTTATAGAAAAAGTTCGCATCGCTTTGCATTCGGAGGCAACCAGCCGATGGTTTACACGTGTCCGAAGTCAGAACGACGCGACTCACGGGATGTTTCAGCTTTTTCGTCGTTTCTGTTTTAACATACAGGAGAAGGAATCGGAGAACATATGTCTCTTCTCATCATTTTGGCAAACTTGCTCTCTGAGAAATGAGGAGACTATCTGTATACGCGTAAAACTGGGGGTAATAACCACCACGATTTTTTAGTGGGACAAACGAAGCAAGGACATGATTGCATGAGATTGAAATGGAAGCTGGGAACTTCTCATACTGAGGCTCAACCACAACACCTACTTTCAGAACCATCGAGACCATGCCCCAGACCCGGTCTGAGCTCCAAGACATCGAAGAGCATTACCAAATGACCTCCCACGATTAATGAAGGGCCGTGATATCCGTGCCTGACTGGATTCACGACGTAGATCTTGGCCCGTATCAGCAACATATTAGTGATTAGCGAAAAAGAAGATTTTTATCTTTCTTAGGATTGTACTTAGGGTAAAACTCCTCTACTATATAAAGAGGGAGTATATTATTCAATAAACACTATGTAACACACATATCAAGGCAATATACATCTGTTCTCTCTGTTTCTAAAAGTTATTCAAAGTTCTTGCTTTTGTTCATAAGTTCTTCATAAGTGTTGGATGCACGTTTCTTGTTAAGCTTTCAACCGATCCCAAACTCACTATCATTATTGGTTTCGATATTTACTCTACCTTTTATTTGCTTATCTAACGTCATAAGTCATTTGTATTGAATTAATCCACATATTCTTAAAATCGCGTATAAATTCAATTTCTATCCATTTTTATGGATAAAAAGTATATATATATAATATATATATATATATATATATATATATATATATATATATATGTGTGTGTGTGTGTGTGTGCTAAAAAATAAATAATAAATCCAATTGTCTATTTATGTAAAGATTCTTAATACCACTTGAAATATGGTCCCGAAGCCGATGTTGATTCGTTGAAGCTCAATCTTTGGCTTTCCAAGATCTATTCACCATAACGGATGGACTGTTCAAGTTCTCAAATAGACTAAGGCCAACCGAGCTAAAATGTGCAAGCGCGTAATTTTTGACCCGTGCAACTTTTAAAAGTAGTATTTTTAAAATTATTTACTTATTTTCATTTTAATAGTATTTGGCCTATTTTTCACTTTTAATCTAATAGTAGAACATAAAATTCGAAAACACAAAAAATAATTTCACTTTATTTTTTTACCTCATTACATATCTTTTTTCAAGAATATTAGTATTTTTGGTAGCAATATTATTTTAATTTTGTGATGATTTTAATCTAATCCCATTTTTATTTTTAGCATGATATTTGAAAATACTAAAAATAATTTGTTTTAATGGTTAGTTTTATTTTAATAGTTATTTATACTTAAGTGAAATTAATTAGTCTATGTTGGTAGTATTTTTATTCTTGTTCAATGAGAAAGAATTAAATTTGAGCTAAAACAATCTATTTTTGAGGCCCATTTTCTGAATTGAGCCCTTAGCCCATACCACCACTTCCATAAAAAGAGATGATCCTTCACTAACCCTAGGAGGAGGGAACCTCCCCCCCTCAATCAGTCGCTAGGGATCTTCTCCAAAACCCCACCAAACCAGCCAGAACTCCTCATCTCTTGACCCCATACTGCCGACCAGCCACAACCAACAAAGATCAACCCTATCAGCCGCCCCCAGCTCTCTCTTCACTCTTCAACTCAGAAGCCATACTCCCTCCTCTCAAATCTGCCGCTGCACCACCCACCCTTCTATAACCATCGTCGCCGCACCAGCCCCCCTCTCCTTCCATTCCATTTTGCTTAATCTCTCTCATTTTCTCATGAAAAAGCCAGCGACACTCACAAAGAAAAAAGAAAACAACAGCCATCTCTTTGGATAAAAAATGGAACACAATCTTTTAGTCGCAATAGAATTTCGATCCAGATTTGAAGTCTATTTGAGTTCATTTAGTCGGGGTGCCGTTCGAGGTTGAAAGTCATAGTTTCAGTTGGCGTTTTCATTTCCGGTTTGTCGAGGTAGTCGAAAGGTTCATCTCTTTTCATCACTTTTATTAATCCATAGATATACTTCGTGTTTTCGTGCATTTAAACTTGCTATGATTTTAATCTTGGTTAGCTTCACTGTTATTTTGTTTGATTTGTTCATGGAGTGATTGAATTAGTCTGTTATGATTTTAATCTTGGTTAGCTTCACTGAATTATGTCTTATAAGATCTGTTCTATACATTTGAAAATGAAGACATGATAGAATTAGCTTGAATGGAGATGGCGACACTTTGAGGGGTTGAGTCGGAGAAATAATCTATAAAAATTGGAATTGGCTCTTGGTCATAAACTGTGCATCAAACTTAATATCATTTTAATTTATTCTTATTATTTTTAGTCGCTTGGGGCATGTTCAGGCCAGCCACACTCGGGTAGGCAAATCTTAGGTTCTTTATTTATTTATTTTATTTTTATTCGAGGTGAGAGGTCGATCCCTTTAGTTTATATTCAGGGGAATGCCCAGTAGATTTTGTATATATTTTTATTCGGGGTATATCCCGTAATGAATGTAATTGGAGGCCATGGAGGACATTGCGAAGTAAACATAATATATATTCTTAGTATTTTTCTCTTACTTTATTTTCTTTTTTAGGTGGGGACGACCTCGAGCCTCTTGTGTGTTTATTTTTCTTTGTGTTTTCTTTTATCTTAGTTCGAGTGTTCTCTAAAGCCAACTTGATCATGTATGCAACCGTACTAGTTACGGGACTCGAGAATGCCTAACACCTTCTCCCCGAGTCAAATGAACCCCCTTACCTAGATCTTTGGTGCAGTCAGTTTTAGAGTCTAAACGTGCTTCAAAAGAACAAATCATTTCTAAAAAAAATGGTGACGTGACACAGCAAAACCAAATGTCATATGGCGACTCTGAAAATCTTTTGAATACAAATTTTTGTCACTTTCTAATTGAAAACCATTTTGAGCTTCAAAATCACTTTATGTATTTTAAATGGGTTAGTGGTTGTAAAAAGGGGTATGACAGCTCTATCGACTCTGCTGGGGAGTTGCAAGTTCGAGCTGATACTTGATCTTGTTGGCTTTTAAGATATTCAGTTGAGGTGTTTGTTTTCTTTATTTGCCTTGTTTATTTGGTTTGTTTGTCTTATTTTCTGTTTTGTTGGTTATTTGTTTATCACTTTTCCTTATGTTTTACAGCTTTATAACTGTCATCATTTGCATAACAATAGGTTTTCTTTCTGCAACAAGTCTTCCGGAGTACATTTGAGCGTACACGGCCTTTTTGCGAGTTGCCCGTATCTTTAGGGGGTGGCGTGGGAGCGTCAAATGAGCGGGCAGCTACAACAACCGCTATCAACCACGTGCCACCCCGAATTGCCTTGTCTAGTGAACCCCAAACTTATGTTAGCCTTTAGGTCATGCTTATTTGCATCATGTCATTTACACTTAGCTGGGCTTGATCCTAGGCACCACGTCCCTTTATAGGAGGCGTATCCAAATTATGTCAAAATGGTCATGGCCCAAAAAGACATTTAATCATCCATATGTGCAACATCTATATTCTTAAAGGGTAAATGAGTCATTTGGCAGACCAATGATGGTTGAGGGTAGATGAGAAAGAAAAGAGGGTGAAGTATAAAGATGAAGCAAGTAGGTCCCAGTTATATTTTTCTTTCATAACTTTTTAAGAAAAGACAAAAAAATGAAAATGAAAAATCCAAAAATATTTTGCACTTTCCCATCATTTTCAAAAAAAAAAAGACAAAAAAATATGTTTTCTCCAAATCGATGTTTTTTATAAATTTTCTCCCGTATCCAATCTTCTCGAACTACGATACCTGATTCTCGTATTTCGGGGCAAGATACATAGACAACCCACATATGGTCCAATCTTTCTCCTCTTTCTAGTGAATCTTAAGTCGTTGGCTTCGGGGGTCGTAGCCACATCTTGCATGTCTAGCCACTTTTGGTCACATCGGTCTTTTTTGCAAAATAGGGCTATTTTATCAAAGTAGTTTGTTATCCCATGTCTTAGAACCCTAAGTCCAAAACAAGGTGTCCTCTCAGTTTTAAGGTCCATTCTTGTTGAATTTGCATGTCTAACCACTTTTGGCCACATCGGTCATTCTTGCAAAATAGGATCATTTTTGTAGAAGTGGTTTAATAACCCATGTCTTAGGATATTGAGTCTACAACTAGGTTCCATATTACTTTAAGGTTTTTCCTTTTTGAGTTTGCATCTTTAGACACTTTTGGCCATATCTGCCGTTTTTGCAAAATGGGTCATTTCTGCAAATTAATTTTAGGCCATGATTATTGGGAGTTTGAATCCATATAAGCCTTTGTGAGGTATTTTCATGTCTTTGAGGTCACCTTTGTTGAGTTTACGCTAATAGCCACTCTTGGCCACGTAGGTTAATTTTCAAAAATAGCCTAATTGTGTCTTGCATGTGTCCAATATGAGGTGTTGTGGCGTCGCATAGTGTCTCGAGTCACTAACTCTATTTGGACTTATTTTACTCATTCAGGTATGGATTAGTGTACCAGAGGTCGAGCATGATAGATACCCCAGGACCATCGCATTTGGGAGCTTGTTTGAAGAGACTTTTTATATTTTGAGTCTGTTTTCATATTTTCTTTTACTTTCTTGTCTTGTATACTAGTTTTGGGTCTTTTAGGTGGTGTAAGAGTTTGCCGAGTCTTTTGTCATCATACTTCCCATTTGTATTTGAAAAAAAAATAGTTATAAATGAAAATCCAAAAAGATTTTTGTTTTTTAGTTTATTTTGTCCATTATTTTCCAGAACTACGCTTGGTATGATTCATGTGGAATATGATACATAGGCAGCCTACATAGGGTTCGATCGAATCATTATTAAAAAAGAAAAAGAAAAAAAAGAATGAAGTTATGGGATGTGAGAAATGAGAGGAAAGAAAAGAGTAATAATAAGAAAAGAAAAGAGAGGAAAGAAAACGAGCAAGCCAAGAAATGCTAGAAAAGAAAGAAAAGAGAAGATTGAAATGAACAGAATTGGGATGATGTCAAATGACCTCGTGACTCTCGAAGTCATTCTAGAACCGTTAATTGTTGCTAGGTGCATTGCACACAATGTGATATTTCTATCTGATAAATGCCATAACGCTAACATGTTGGCTTTGTTTTGCTCCTCTATGGTACTTTAATTGTTATCATAATAGAAGGTGGTTAGTTTGTGGAATTCTAACGAGTCATCCGTACAACACAAGGTCAAAGAGCAAGGTAGCCATGGCTAGCAAAGACTTGGACACAGGTGTTGTTGATTCGTCTAAGGAGATTGTTGTATCAGAATCTGAGTTAAAAGAAGAGGTCCTAAGGTTGAAAGGACAGATGGCCGAAATATACCAAGCCTGGATTAGTGGAGTGCCCTCCACCATTATTACCCACTAACTACACCGAAAGCCTCATCACCATTTCGCCATTGTCACAAAAATCCAGATTTCCACTACTGCTGATATTCTCCCACAACCTTTTCACACTCTACCCCCAAAACCACCTCATATCCCGCTCCTTTGACCACTCATATTTTTTTAGCTCCACCACCAGTTATTCTTCCTTAATCCTCTAGCGAGACTGTGTTGAAAGTCCCCGATGCCCAACACTATGCTCTAGAACCAACTTTTAAGGTCTTGGATCCATACTCTTACGCTCCTCATTTTGAGCCTCCTAGTGAAACTGAAAATCCTGCTAAGACAATGGAGCAAGATGATATATCCAGGAAGGTGAAAATCTTAGAGTAGTCTTTAAGAAGCATTCAAGGGATAGGGAGCCAGGTGAGCGTGTCTTACAAAGACTTGTGCTTGTTTCTTGATGTCCATTTACCTGCTAGGTTTAAGATGCCAAAGTTTGATTTGTATGACGGACATGGGGATCCCGTATCCCACTTGAGAGATTATTGCAATAAGATGAGAGGCGCCGGTGGAAATGACGAGTTATTGATGGCATATTTTAGTCAGAGTTTGAGTGGGGCAGCTCTGGAGTGGTACACCTGCCAAGACTCTAGCAGGTGGTACACATGGGACGATATGACTTAGGCCTTTGCCTAACACTTTCAGTACAATATAGAAATTTTCCCGGACCACATGTCCCTCACCAAGATGGAAAAGATGGCTAATGAAAGCTTTAGGGAATACGGGCTCAGATGGAGAGAGAAAGCTGCCTGAGTCAATCCCCCGATGGAAGAAGACGAGATGGCTGAGTACTTTCTTAAAACTCAAGAGCCTACTTACTTTGGGCCTATGATCTCGGCTGTGGGTAAGCCTTTTATTGATATGGTAAAAATGGGAGAAATGGTAGAAGATTGGCTGAAGTCAAGCAAGATCATGAGCTATTCTGCTTTAAAAGCCATAACACAAGCAATTTAGAACGGCATATGAAGATTGATGGGTCAGAAGAAACACTCATGGGCACCGTAAGTCGACGGTGAGTTGAGAAAATGAGCAAAATGAGAGAGGCTTGATGGTGAAAACCCTTCAGGGTACTACAAGTCGACTGATAATTGTGGATCAAATAGAACAATTGGAGCGCCGAAGCCTAGTTTCACAACTTAGAGGCATAACAAGAGTTGAAGGTTAGACATGCTTGACAGATCATGCCGCTTAATCTAAAATGCATGTCATGGTTAGTGGAGATGGCCTTCAAATCAGATTAGTTTCTACTTTGTTCTCTTTCCTAGGTAAAAATATTTTCTTGTTAGATACCATCTCTTCTCGTTTTTTCCCTTATTTTGGTCCTCTTGTTTTGTTTGAGTCCCTTTTGAGTCTGTTTGTATTGAAACAAGTGAGAAATAACTTCAAAATCTGCTACCAGCTTTTTAATCACACAAAGCCGAGTCTGGCAAGCTCATCAAAATGACATAAGACACAGGAGAATAGTGTGTGCACTGAGTTGGTGATAATAGATGTTCTTTAGGATTGATGTAAAATGCAATGATTTGGTGAATGTTAGAACACGAGTGCAAAGCATCGGTCATAAGGTATTGGACTTGAACGAATCAGGAATATTTCTTGTGATAAGGGTTGTCCGAAGAAATGGTCGGCCGATAACAAGCACTGTCTTCCAAGTTGAAGTCCAAGTTGACCGTGACAAGTGCAAGAGAAATCGCCCTCGTAATCAAGGCCACAAACTAACCACCATGTTTTAAACTCACAAGTTTTCTTTGTCTGAAATAGGGATGAAGGCTATATTCATATCAAAGCTTGAATTTTTCTGATGTAATGCCCCAATTGTGCTTATGCAAAGGCTATTGAGAAGATCACACATCAACCCTAGGAGACGCACTTCCTAGTCTGGGTCTTTCAGGTTATACTTTTGTTTTAGGAGATGCACTTCCTAAATTGAGATTCCACCAGAGGAGACGCACTTTCTAGTTTTGGTCATTTAAATTCATCCCTAGGAGATGCACATCCTAGTTGGAGTCATTGAAGTTTTACCCGTTGGGAGATACACTTCCTAGTAGGGGTCTTTTAGATACTTTTTAGGAGACGCATTTCCTAGCTTTGGTCATTTAAATTCATTCCTAGGAGACACAATTCCTAGTTTGAGTCAATGAAGTTTCGCCCCTAGCAGACGCACTTCTTAATCTAGGTTTTTTCAAGTTACACTGTTTAGGAGATGCACTTCCTAAATTGAGATTTTACCCCTAAGAGATGCACTTCCTAGTTTGGGTCATTTAATTTCATTCCTAGGAGACAGACTTCCTAGTTTGAGTCATTTAAGTTCATCCCTAGGAGACATACTTCCTAGTTTGAGTCATTGAAGTTTCAGCCCTAGCAGACGCACTTCCTAGTTTAGGTCTTTTAGGTTATACTTTTGTTTTAGTAGATGCACTTCTTAAATTGAGATTCAACCCCTAGGAGACACACTTCCTAGTTTTGGTCATTTAAGTTCATTCCTAGGAGACTCACTTTCTAGTTTGAGTCATTGAAGTTTTACCCCTAGGAGACGCACTTCCTAATTTAGGTCTTTCAGGTTATATTTTTATTTTACGAGACGCACTAATTGAAATTTTACCCCTAGGAGACACACTTCCTAGTTTTGGGTCATTTAAGTTCATTCCTAGAAGATGTAGTTCCTAGTTTGAGTCATTGAAGTTTCACCCCTATGAGACACACTTCCTAGTCTGGGTCTTTCAGGTTATATTTTTGTTTTGGGAGATGCACTTCCTAAATTGAGATTATACCGCTAGGAGATGCACTTCCTAGTTTGGTTCATTCAAGTTTTACCCGTAGGAGATTCAAGTTTCACCCGTAGGAGACACACTTCCTAATCTGGGTCTTTCAGGTTATTCTTTTAGGAGACGCACTTCCTAAATTGAAATTTCACCCCTAGGAGATGCAATTCATAGTTTGATTCATTCAAGTTTTACCCCTAGGAGACACACTTCCTAGTTTGGTTCATTCAAGTTTTATCCCTAGGAGATGCACTTCCTAGTTTGGTTCATTCAAGTTTCACCCATAGGAGACACACTTCATAGTCTGGGTCTTTCAAGTTATATTTTCTTTAAGAGACGCACTTCCTAAATTGAGATTTCACCCCTAGGATATGCAATTCCTAGTTTGGTTCATTCAAGTTTCATCCCTAGGAGACGCAATTCCTAGTTTGGTTCGTTCAAGTTTCACCCGTAGGAGACGCACTCCCTAATCTGGGTCTTTCAGGTTATTCTCCTAGGAGACACACTTCCTAGTTTGGGTTATTCAGGTTTTATTTTTAGCCGATGCATTTGCTAGTCAAATTTTCTTCGTTTTACTCACAGGAGACGCACATCCCAGTCGAGTCTTTAGTTTTACTCTCATCATTGCATCAACAACATAGGTGATTTATAGTTTTGCTAACAACTCACAAATCTTCCTAGTGTAAACTGGGGCAGAAAATTTTGTTTGTTTTGTTGTTTTGATTGCAAGCACCCACCTGGAGAACGAGGAAATTCTTTTCAGAGTTACTTCAAATTTCAAGTCAGTAGCAGGTGCCCACCTGAAGAACGAGGGAAGTCATTTCAGAATTCAATTCAAGTTAGAAGTAGCAGAAGCTCACCTAAGGAATGCGAGTCAATAGTCCGAGATGACCAAAAAAAGAAGTCTCAATCCAAAATGAAAAAAGAAAAAAAGTAAATCCAAATGTAGAAGCAGATGAAAGATGTGAACTGCTCAAGACATGGTTGAAGTTACGAGCACTGCATGTCCGGTCTTGATCCGAAGAAGTCGTGGAAGAATGAATCAACACCTGCAGCTAGCAAGCATCAAGGTTCAAATCAAAAGTCTGCATGAAGAACCATTCAAGACTCAAGATCAAGTTTCAGTAGACTTATAGATAGGAATCTTGTAACTCAAAACTGATAGGCTTGCTTAGTTTTTTGAGATTTTGATTTGATGTAATAACAGGACCACGGACCGGAACCTCAATAGAATGGTATCTCACCTGACTCTCTCATCCTCTCCACACACTCCATCACTTCATTCACTTCTGAACTACACGTGGCTTAATTCCTTTATAGCCAAGCATATGCAGACAGCTCAGATACTAGGGCTCGGTCACAATATTTTACCCATCTTTCTTTTCTTTTGAATAAGCGTCGGGTCATAAATCAATTACGTTGCTTATTGTCTTTTGCTCCGAAAACTCTTCGTATTTCCAAACAAAGAGGGGCAGCTGTAAGCACGTAATATTTGACTCGGGCAACTTTCAAAAGTAGTATTTTTAAAAATATTTACTTATTTTGATTTTAATAGGATTTAGTCTATTTTTCA